AGAAAAGCACACAAACACAAAGACACAGACATCGATCATAGTATAATAATAATAAAGTAATTGGAGTATCAAAATAGCACACTTTTAAGGGTTTGTCCTCTTTCTTTTGGGGATTCCCTTTACTGTCTTACCTTGTGTTTTCTTCAAACCTCAAAAAGTTGCATAAGCCAAGTTTCCAAAGCAAAAAACAAGACTGTGTCTCTCGGTAAAAAGAGTGCGTGTACTTTACAGAAACACCACATTGACTCATATCCAATTCTATTATATTTTGGAATCACTACATTTTTCTTGTTATATTTAATTTCTTATAAAGATAACGAGAAAATAAAAATAAAGTAAGGCTATATAAACCTATGTCTCAGCAATTGTTTAGAGAGTTATAGACCGACATTCTCTTTTGTTCCTCGCGAATGTTTCCTAAATTATCACGTAGGAAGCAAACCCCAACCAACACTTCCTCGAAGTATGCCCCAAACTGGCTAACAATACCATTCGGCAACAAAAAGACTTAGAACGAAATTAAATAAACTGAACACCTTCGCCAAACAACTCTTAATGAATACTATGTTTTTTTTGCTGCTTGCTTTCCTATTTGCATGGCCTCAACAATTAATAGAAAGAGAAGAAAGACTAAATTTTACTCCATCTTTTTCAGTTTATCCGTTCCAAAAACATACATTTAAATATTTGGAAATAAAATAATTTAAACTTTTTATTTTATCTATTTTATCCTTAGTAAAAAGTTTTTATAGCCACGAAAATATCATGGGATATTTAAGAACACAAATTTCAAATAACTTATAGTCACACAATTATTTTGACTTGAACAAAAAAAAAAAACTTAAACTTCTTGACGAGTTAAACTACGTCACAAAAATTGGAATGGGGGAATAACAATAAAAATCATACTCTAGCAAGTAGAATTTCTCTTGAAAAGCATGTACTTATTAACTGCGCTAAGTCCTAATTGGATTTCTACAATTTCTCAAGGCAGAATGAAAAAGAATGTATTTCATCGGCCTCTACCAAAATAAAATCACTCCATATTAGATTTGAGTAAGAGCTCTACTTCGTAACATAATTAAATGGTGTATCAAAAAATATGATGATACCTTCGTCAAAGCGAAAAATGCTGTTTAAGTTTCAACTCCATAAAATAGCCGACCAGAAGATAGAGAACTAATTTTATTGTTTTCGCACATTTTGTTTTTTCAATATTTTCACCGTTAGATCCTACTCTAAGACGAGGTTAAGGGTAGAATAGCGGATGTATGTTGATGTGAAATATATTGAATGGATTATCTGTTAAGACTTGTATAATTTTATTGTTATATGATAGTTAGTTGCATAGTTAGTGATGTTAGTTAATTGTAATTGAGTAGAGTTAGTGACCAGCTCAGCATTAGCTGTGTCCACGCGTGTATATACTCAGTACAGTAATGAGAAAGAAAGTGAGCTTTCCACTTTCCAATTTCTGTTCTCATCTCTCACAAACTCTCTCTCATAGAATTCTCAAGAAGGACTCCATTGGAGCACCAGATCGAGCTTCAAGCTCATCTTCAAGGTCAGATTTAACATGGTACCAGAGCAAGGGAAGCTCATGCTCGACTATCGGTCATCGTATCCATCAATCTTCCCCATTTTTTTCCTTCCTATAATTCTGCCTTTCTAGTCCGATCGATTTTTTCCCTAATTTCTTCAAATCGCAAATTGACAGTCAATTCTTCAAATTTCTGCTGGAATTAGTGTGTAACACAACAAACTCTTACACTCATGACCGTATTAGATCAGGAAGACACTTCTGTTAGTGATACTGGTGTCACCGCTGCGGCAAACATTGGAATAGATCCAAGCGATCCTCTTTATCTACATCCGTCAGACAATCCTGGAGCGATGCTCGTCTTAGTTCCTTTTAGTGGAATTGAATATAGGTCTTGGAGACGCAGTGTTATGCGTGGTCTGTCCGTCAAAAACAAGCTAGGGTTTATAAGTGGAGAATGTAAACCACCAGATCCTCAATCTCAGAGATTCCGACAGTGGGAGCGATACGATGATATGGTAACGTCTTGGATTCTAAATTCACTCTCCAAAGACATTGCGGACAGTGTGGAGTATGCTAATAATGTTGTTGAGTTGTGGAGAGAATTGGAGGATCGATATGAGCAGACTAATGATGCTAGGCTATACCAGATCCAAAAAGAGATAAACGACCTGTCTCAAGGTGTGCTGGACATTACAGGCTATTATACTAAGTTGAAGAAGATATGGGAAGAGCTAAATACGTTGAGCAAAAAGACTCATTGCAGTTGTACTTGTACGTGTGGTTCCAAGGACAACATGCACAAGGCCGAGCAGGACAGAAGATTGATACAGTTTCTTATGGGACTTAATAAAGTCTACACTGTCGTACGTGGAAGCATTCTCATGATGAATCCGCTACCAAGTATTACACAAGCCTTCTCACTACTAATTTAGGATGAGAAACAAAGAGAGATCAAGCCAAATAATCAAATATTATTTGAGTCTGCTTGCTAAGTGTCAACACATCAAAATCTAGTTCTTACAGAACAAATTATGCTGCCAATAACAGTTCAATTGGAGGCAATATGCCCCGTCCATTTTATGACTACTGTGAGAAGCTAGGACATACCAAGGACAAATGCTACAAGTTACATGGGTACCCTCAGAACTTTGGAAATTCACACACTCAGAATCCAAATAGAGGACAGAACATGAACCAAGCTGAAAGGTTCAGCGAAGGAAGGAGAATAGTAGCTAGTGTGCAGGGGACCTCTTCTGAAGCAATGACAGCTGGAAAAGATGGATCAGAAGATGGAAATGAGGCCAGGTAAGTCAACCTCTCTAAGGAACAGTATGGACAGATCCTAAACTTGCTGCAACATTTTCAAACTGGAACGAGAGGAGAAAGCTCCAGTTGTGCAAACTATGTCAACGGTGTTGTGAACTTTGCAGGTATAATAGTCTGCACTTCCTCTATTGATTTTAGCAAATTGTCGTGTCAGTGCTTCAAAAACAAGGCAGACTCTTGGATATTATAATCAGAAGCCTCTAATCACATGACCTTCAATATATCCTTATTAACCAACATTTTAACCTTACCATATCCCTTATTGTTAGTTCGTCCAAACGGATATAAGGTAAAAGTAACACAAATTGAAAGTGTGACATTGTTTCCTAAGATCATTTTGCATAAGGTTATGAATATACCTTCCTTCAAATATAACCTCGTATCAATTCATTCATTAACCAGTTCAACTCCTCATAGCATAGTTGCCTTTACTGATAACATTTGTCTTCTGCAGGCCCCTTCAATGAAGTGGCCTCTAGAAATTGGTAAAGTCAATGATGGACTCTATCTCCTCTGTCCAAGGTGTCTCAGGAACAACCATTCAGAATCAATTGTAAATAGTTCAATTGTTAGTTATGTTTCTTCCACTTGTTGCACACACAACTCACACCGTTTTTATCATTCCACTGTAAATAGCTCATTGTCTAGGGATAATTGCACATCTCATTCAGTTGTAAATACATGTTTCCCAAATAATAAAGTGCAACTCCCCATTGTGAATAGTATCAATTCTTCCATTTCTTCAAGTAATGATATAAATGTTTTGTGGCATAACAGACTGGGTCATGTGCCCTTTATCAAGATGAAGGAAATATCCAGTATTCCGACATCTTTCTCATCAAAACAAACATTTACCTGCTTTGTTTGCCCAATGGCAAGACAGAGGAGATTACCATTTCCAGAAAAATTTACTAATTCTACCAAGATCTTTCAACTTCTTCATGTTGATCTCTAGGGTTCTTACCACATGCCAACTCATGACAACTTCAGATATTTCATCACTATGGTGGATGATTACAGTAGATCCACCTGGACTCACCTATTGACCAGCAAAAGTAACGCTCTGCATGTCATCAAAACTTTGTGTCAATTATTGAAAACCAATTCAATACCACTATCCAATCTATAAGGTCAGATAATGGTCTAGAGTTTAACAATACAGAAGCAAATCAGTTCTTCCTTTCTAAAGGGATTATCCACCAAAAGACATACCCTTATACACCACAACAAAATGGCATAATGGAAAGAAAGCATAGATACTTATTGGAAATAGCAAGAGCCCTTTTATTCCAGTCAAAATTACCTCTACGATATTGGGTTGAATGCATCCTATGTGCAACCAATATAATAAATAGACTGCCCTCTTCTCACTTCAAAGGCAAGTCACCATATGAACTACTACATAACAGAAAACCTACCTACTCTCACATGAGGAGTTTTGGGTGCTTGTGCTATCCTATAGTACCCAAGGTCCACAAAGATAAATTTGAACCTAGAACCACACCACATGTTTTTGTTGGATATCCCTTTGGGGTAAAAGGGTACAAAGTGATCAGTCTGGCTACCAAGAAAACACATGTATCTAGAGATGTAGTTTTTAATAAAAATATCTTCCCTTTTAGTATGTCTAAGGATACTGCTTCATTTTCCTATGTCCTTAAATCCATTCCTTTTATTGATCATGTGTCTAGTGAGAATGAGCAAAGTCAAACTAGTGAGTCAAATGATCAAGGGGTTTCAAATGTCACACATCCAGATTTGTCATCAGATCCTTCATCCCTTTCCCCCAATAATATAGATTCACATACTCCAGAAGACCCACAAAATAACTCACCAGTAAGATCTGTAAGGAATACCTCACCTGAACATGTTTTGGAACCAAGGCAATCTCATAGAACAGACAAAGTTCCCACATACTTGAAGGATTATGTTCACAAACTACCCCACCTGAAACCAAACACCAATAACCACACCAATGCATCTCTTTCTATCAATGGCTTATCCTCTCCCCACATTCACATATCTGTTGAGAATCTAAATCAGGATAGTTAGTGCCCTGTGAAGCACTTGCAGTGACAAAGAGCCTAACTCATATGAATAAGCAGTTGTACATCCTGCCTGGCAAACACCAATGACACAAGAGTTTGAGGCATTGCATGTCAACATCACCTGGGAGCTAGTACCATTACCAGTTGAGAAACAAGTCATAGGGTGTAAGTGGGTGTATAAAGTGAAGCATAAGGCAGATGGCAGTATAGTAAGGTTCAAGGCCAAGTTAGTGGTCAAGGGGTATACCCAACAAACTGAAATTGATTATACAGAAACATTCAGTCCTATGGTGAAAATTACAACAGTAAGAGCTCTCATAGCTGCAGCAGTCAAGAAAGGCTGGGATATATTCCAGTTAGATATGAATAATGCCTTTTGTCATGGGGACCTCCATGAAGAGGTGTATATAGAAGTACCACAAGGTTTGGTAGTAGACAGTGGACATATGACATGCAAACTCAAGAAGTCCCTGTATGGCCTCAAACAGGCAAGCAGACAGTGGTATGCAAAAGTGAGTGAAGCATTGTAGTGTAAGGGATATACCCAGTATATGTATGATTATTCACTTTTCTACAAGAAGACAACTGAATCAACAATATATGTGGCAGTATATGTAGATGATTGTAATACTGACAGGAACAAACAAAGAGGAGATAGAGGAACTGAAGGCATTCCTACATGAAAATTTCAAGACTAAAGACTTGGGTAAATTCCATTATTTTCTGGGGCCGGAAATATTCTATAAAGCTGATGGAGTTGTAATTTCACAAAGAAAGTTTGTGCTTGATTTGCTGAAAGAGTACAATTGCATGGATTATAGTAGCCTTGCCTCACCACTTGATTCAATAGTGAAGTTGAAAGCTAAAGAGGGTACTACATTAACTGATCCCACCTATTATAGAAAGCTGGTTGGAAAATTAAATTTTCTCACCAACACAAGGATAGACATAGCCTACAGTGTACAATACCTTAGCCAACTCATGCAAGATCCAAGAGAACCCTACTTGAAAGCAGCCTTTCACCTGCTCAGATACTTGAAGGGTGACCTCTCCATGGGAATATTCATGTCACATGATCCAAACTGTAATATTAGAGCCTATTGTTATTCTGATTGGGCTGTTTGCCCAGACTCAAGGAAGTCAGTAAGTGATTACTTAATTCTATTAGGGAACAGTCCTATATGCTGGAAATCTAAGAAGCAAGAGACCATTTCACTGTCATCAGTAGAGGCAGAGTACCGGGCACTCAGAAAAGTAGTAGGGGAAGGCTGTGCGGATTTCTTGAAGAGCTCACTGTGCCCTTTGGTAAACCAGTAGAAGTCTTTTGTGATAGCCAATCAGCTCTACATATAGCAAGAAATCCTGTGTTTCATGAGCGGACAAAACACATAGAAGTGGATTGTCACCTTGTCAGAAGCAAGCTACAAGAGGGACTAATCTCACTTCATCATGTAGCAACAAACAATCAGTTGGATGATGTCCTTACCAAGGTTCTAACAGGAGTGAAGCACTCAGCGATCTTGAGCAAGTTGGCAGTGTACACAACATCTCCAACTTGAGGGGGGGGGGGGTGTTAAGACTTGTACAATTATATTGTTATATAATAGTTAGTTGTATAGTTAGTGATGTTAGTTAATTGTAATTGAGTAGAGTTAGTTAGTGACCAGTTCAGTAGTAGCTGTGTCCACACATGTATATACTCAGTACAGTAATGAGAAAGAAAGTGAGTTTTCGACTGTCCAATTTCTGTTTTCATCTCTCACAAACTCTCTCTCATAAAATTCTCTAGAAGGACTCCATTGGAGCTTCAGATCGAGTTTCAAGCTCATCTTTAAGGTCAGATTTAACATTATCTAAATTGGTAATGGATAAAATTATAACCACAAAGGGTGCGATAGGATATTCGAAATTTCCTTTACAATCATAGTTCCGTATTCAAACTTTGAAAAGGAAAATTCTTTTGGTAGGACACTTTATTTTCTTAGTAGGATTATAATTAGTCAAACCAATGCGTTTCAGGATGATTAACAAAATATAATTATGCTATAAAACCAAATTCCACTTGTATTGTCAATTACCATACTTCTTTTGCGTACTCTCTATATCCATACTCACAATAGAATACTTTTACATTAATACTTCTTAACCATTGTTTCCCAACAAGGATATTACCTTTTGTATTTAAAGGAATTGTTTAATACAATGGTAGGATAGAAAAGGATATTCTATGAGAGAATTCTATGGGATTAGCTAGTCCCGCGTTTTTATATAGGATAGTTAATTCTATCATTATAGTATAATTTTTTTTTTTGGAATTAGCTACTACTTATAATTAAATATAAGATAAATACAATTCCAAATTTTATCTCTAAATTTTTATTCTTATCCCTAGTACCATACAACCCAAAGAATATGATTATTGCGTGGGATGGCCAAATAGATGAATATCATTACAAATGACGATAAGTTTTCTGCCTAATTCATGATTTAAGAAAATGGTATGTATGTTCTAAATTCTAATCATCAAATATTGAAAAACTTTATTATGTGCCCCACACAACTGACATTAAATGTATGAGGAGATTTTATTTTGTCTCACAACAAAGTGGACTCAATTCTTATATATTTGGGTCCATAAAATCTTGGGTCCACTTTATTGCTAGAGAAAATAAAGCTTCACACAACTAATGTCAGTTGTGTATGTGTAGGTTATGCATCGGTCGGATCAGATCAGATTTAGCACATTTCAAATTGTAAATTCGGATGAAATTTATAAAATACAGTCCGAATTAAATTGGATCGGATCGAATTTTATAGTTTGGATCGGTTAAATATTTCGAATTTTCATATCAGATTGTATGCCTTATTAGGACTACTAACAATATAATCGGCTAATGCACTTTTTAATGTTATTGCTATTCACCATTCTATTAAATTGAAAGGCAATAAATGTCTTTCATAGCAATAGACAAAACAAAAGTTTCATTACAAAATAAAATAAACAAAAATTCCAAACAAATGTCCAATAAGGGAAAGACGTCGTTGTCCGTCAATAGGAAGGAGAGCCTGAGAATGAGAGACACAAAGGTAAGACTTAAGGAAGCGGACAGAGCAATCTGAAGAGAGATTAGAGAGAGAAAGACTTCGATATGAACTAAGAAAAAAAGAGTCTAAAGAGAGGCAGATGAAATGAGAAGACTTAACCCTAAAATGTAAGTATAATATTTATACATGTCCATGTAATTCGAATTTCGGGTCGGATTAGATTAAAATTATACCAATCCGAATCCAATCCGAATACCCGAACTTTTGAAAAACTACCAAACCCATATCTGATCCGAATATTAGAAATTCAAAATTCAAAATCCGAATAGAGTCAATCGGTGCGGACTCTCAGATATCCGATCCAATTATACAACCGTAATTGTGTGAGGCACACACAATAAAAAGTTTTTTCAAATATTCAACAAAAATCGCCAAGAAGATAAATGAAAGTCGAAAATTTTTATTTTGTGCCTCACACAACTGACACTAGTTGTGACTGCGTAGGTCCCAGAATTTTGTGGACCCAGATGTGTAAGATATGAATCCACAAATATGTGAGATAAAAAAAGGCCTCACACAACTAGTGTAAGTTGTGTGAGAGACAAAATAAAATCACTCGTGATAGACTTGCTCTGCAGCAAGCGCATCAGCACACAGTACTGCAGCATGCAGAAGAGATTAGATGTATAGCCATCGATCAAGTTAATAAAGGTCCCTTTTACTGCACTCCAAAAGATTACACTGTTATTTGAACACGTCCAAAATAATTTCCCCCCTCCCAGAATTTTTATAACGTAGTACCCACTCCTACTTATCTTTGATTGATCGATGTGATCACATTATTTGCCCATGCACGTAACTTACTGATGATCATCAAATCTTCTTAAGTTCTTCTTACACCTGATTAACCAAACACTTGGTTTATGTTATTCTGTTCTTCAGATTTCATCTTTCTATATGATGGTTCATTTACAGCCACCGCACGGTTAGACAAATGCACTTGTGATACACCCAAATCTTCCTCTGGTTAAAGGGAGCAATCATGGCCATGCAGTCAAACAATCTTTTCTTCTTGACGCCACTGTGACGCATTAATTTTACTTCCCCTCCCCCCCCCCCCCCCCTCCCAAGTAATCCTACGGCTCTTAGCCCTTCCCTTATTTTCTTGAGATCATTAATTCCATAAATTAACTCCTTCCCAGTTTTGTATTCTCAGTATCTGATTACAGTATCTCGTATCAGTCACTTTTCATACAAAGACATTTATCTCCCTTCATGAGATTATCTACTTCCTTTCTCATTTTATGTTTAACATTTTTTACTTTTTAAACTGTCAAAAAATGCAACTTCTTTCTTGTAAATTTAGATGATATGGTTTGACTGGACACAAAATTTAAAAAAAATAAAGATTTTTAAAATATATTGTGCTAAAAGCTTAATAGACAAAAACTTATTGTGGCCATAATATTTGTGCGACTATAAAAACTTCTCATTAAGAATAAGTTAGGTAGAATGAAAAGTTTAAAGTTAACTTATTTTTAAATATAAAAATCATGCGTCATTCTTTTTAGGAGAGACTAATAACGAAAGTGTGTCATCTAAATTGAAATTAAGGGAGTAATTTTTTCCATCTAGAAATTTTAAAAAAATAAAATACAAATATGTAAGTCTTATTTTAAATTATAATTTTATAAATTTTTTGTCCAGTTCAACAATATTTCTAGTCACCATAGGTCTTCAATGGGTAATTTTGTCCTTAAACAAGAGTATATCCCTCCCTAGCAAGTAAGGACAGATTTATAAAAGTGATAATAAATAAACATGACGGATTGTGGTCTTATCGAATTTGACAGCCATATCTATAAAATCCTAGACCCCTCTAATAAATTACTATTTCCAAATAAAATACCAATTTCCGTTGAGTTTATAAATTGTTGAACTTTATCACAATTCAAAGAAGATCACTTTGTCTTTCTTCTATCTCTAGCACAAAGACAATGTATACCCATGCTCAAATGCTTCAAAAAACTGACCCCTTTTTCCTCTCTAAACAACAATCCCTTTACCCAAATGAACCAATTGATCATCTCTGCATTGACTCTACTAAATATCTTGATCCATTTCACTCTTTTTCTGAATTTCCAACTCCAGAACATGATCAGAAATCCCCTGTTCTTGAAGGAATTGCAGCTGTAGTTGGAGAACATGTTCTTTTTGGCAGCTGTAATAATAAAAACAAGAGAAGTGTTGATCAAAATTCTGAGAATACTACTGCAGTTTCGATTCTGAAGCGCACGTGCCATGCACCTGACAAATACAGAGGCGGCGCGGGGAAAGAAGAAAAGAGAAATGTTCCAGCGGAGAGGAGCTACAGAGGAGTGAGGAAGAGGCCGTGGGGGAGGTGGTCAGCGGAGATACGTGACCGTATAGGGCGGTGCCGCCACTGGCTTGGTACATTCGACACGCCGGAGGAGGCTGCGCGTGCATATGACGCGGCTGCTAGGTGGCTTAGAGGGTCAAAGGCGCGAACCAACTTCCAAATTCCTCCAGTTGTGCCTTTGCCTTTGCATTCATCACCAACATCAACTTCATCCTCTTCGAATACCTCTGCTGAAGAGAAAAAGAACAAGAAAAATATTCCTTGTGCTAAACGAAATACACCTAATAATAACAGGAAATGCTCAGTGGTAACTTCAGCTGCCCATCTTTTCAGCTCTAGCAGTACGCCTACTGTGGAGCTTGATCTCAAGCTTGGATTTGGGAAGAAGAGTAGCTAGCTAGTTTTTAACGCTGAAAATAGGTGCTACTAGCTATATCTAGTAAAGCGTTTTATGTGTAAATCAAATGTAACTGTGGTTCAGCCTGTATCATTTTGATGTGGTAATCATGACTAGTTGACTAATCAAGCTTGGTATGAGAAGAAGTTTTTCTGATGTTGTATTAGAAGTTTTTCTGATGTTGTATTAGAAAGGATACAGAAAAGGTTATGCGCCATGCGTGTAAATGTAGTTAACTAATCTTTTTGAGAATCTCTATATTGTATTCTAGCTAGCTTGTTGAATGAGTTGTTTTGTTCATATCGGTTACGTTACGTTCAAGCCTAATCATTATTCTTATGTGTCTGATTATATGTGTCACTATTCACTAATGGCTATTTTCGGTCTTTCTAATCATCAATGTGTATGTTATGCGGAATGGATATAAAGTTCCATTACTTCTCATGGTTGGTTGTGGAACTAATTAAATCTTTCAAGAAAACTTGTTTCGTCTGG